AGTCACCGTTCGCTCTAAGTTGCAATCCTTTATTGATGGCTTTTCTGGAAGTCTAATGCACAGCAAGACAAACTTCTTGCTTGCATTCACTAGTCTCTTCGCTCGTGTCACCGTCCCAAAGCTTGTCTCCTCGGAAGAGATGCCGAACGAAATATGAACTTTTCACCATCCTTAGTGAAGGTGTACTTCTGAGCCCGCCTCTCGTAGATCGCATATCTATCCCATAAGTATGGATTGCTCAGTATAATCTGACAAACATCCAATAAAACAACGTCGCACGTGACCTCGTCAATATACGACTCGTGGAGCACAAATCTGACAGTGCATTGATCAACTACACTCAGTTTCTCCTCCTTCTGAATCCACCCTAATGGATAGGGCTTCAGATGCTTGACCGTCTTCAGACCCAGCTTCTGAACCAATACCTCGGATATCAAATTCTTCTCGCTGTCCGAATCAACAATGGCATCAACCAAACTGGTCTTCACTTGCAACTTAAGAACAAAGAGTTGTTCTCTCGGGTTGTCGTCCTCTTTCGTGGTCTGCTTCCCCATCATAAGATTGAGACTGCTGTTGGGCTCTATCATCCCTGGGACTTCTTTCGGACCTTAAGCTATCATGTATGCCTTTTTCTTCTCCTTCTTCTTCAACCCTCTTGGCTTGAGATGAGGATACTTCTCCCAGCACCGATCAGCTGTGTGTCATGTCTTCTCGCAGTGACTACAAATCAGCTCTGCTTTCCCTGGATCACCCTTCTTCTTCTCTTCCTTAGATAGAGAACCACTAGACTCGTCTCCCGTCTGTTTGGAGTCTCCCTTAGCCTCGTTGCCCTTCTTTTGCTTGCCTTCGAGGGCAATAGCCTTACGCTCGCCTCTTTAATTGATTCCACCGTGAATAGCTTCATCTCCTTTCGGATGTGATCGCTCAATCCCGCCATATACTTCATAAACACGGAATATTCCTCTGTCGCAATGTTGAGGACTATCGCCTACTGCTGGAACTTCGTGGTGTATTCTTGACCGGTTTGATTGACCCTTTGGCGCAAGCCTACCACTTGTACCAACACTCTCCAAGGAATTCCACCGGGTAAAACTATTTCCTCAGTAACTCCTTGAACTTGTTCCACGACATCGCCTTCTTCTCCTGCTTGCAGTAGGATTTCCACCACATCAACACGTGCCCTGAAAGCTTCAAAGTCGTGAACATAATCTTCTCTTTTGACGAATAGCCATAAAGAGTAAAATACGTCTCCATCCACTCGATCCAGTCATCAAGCCTCTCGACGTCAACACTCCCATCATAAACAGGAATCTCCACCTTGAAGTCAATCTTCAGGTTCTGATAAGAATTCTTACCCCCTTGATGCAATGCAGCCTTAACGGTCTCCTCCTCCTCGTCGAAATCTGAATCTACTCTCTCCACATCGGACTCAATAATTTTCTTCGAAGAAGATTCACCTTGTTTGCCACCTCCATGGATAAGACTGACGAGTTGTGTGAGATTCAAACCTATCGTCTCGATTTGCTTCTCCAATGCATCAAACCTCGTAGAATTATCTCATTCAACCATCTTCTTCCTCCTTAAGACCTGGCATACTTCCAATGAAATAAGGATCTCGTCAAGCTTCTTGTATTGTGATCGAGTAAGGACTATACACAGGATGCCCCCTTCACCGGATTTGATTGATCTGATACCAACTTGATACGAGTTGCCGTGCGCGCACCCTTTGGCCGCGGAATTACCAAAAGGTGGGTTGAGATGAAGAGAACTAAAACACAAAACAATTCAGTATGACAAAGGAAAATACCTTCTTCTAGATTATGAAGAAAAAAAGATTACAATCTCTCCCTCACAATCTCACTAGAATCGAGAACAACCTCTCAATCCTCTCTAAACCCTAATACAAAGATTAGAATCTCTCTCTGATCTAAGATCATAAAACTTATGTTTAGAAATCCTAAACAACCCTTTATATAGGTGTACAAACGTGGATGACAATCTGGTAAATAATCAAGCCCAAAACCAATAGGAATTCGTGTGAACAGAAACCCAAACGAATCAGGAAACTGTCGATGAGTCGACTCATGACTGAGATGAGTCGACTCATGACCTCATATGAGTCGACTCATAACTGATGAGTAAACTGGTCAGAGACTTTTGCTAACAAGGCTTAATTTCGTGAGTCGACTCATGACAATCATGAGTCGACTCAACCTGATGAGTCGACTCATGTACATGTATGAGTCGACTCACGAGCTGAAAACTGGATTCTTCGAATCTGCTGCTCGTCGTCTCGTTCCACGCTTCCACCTGCGGTCCACTGTACTGTTTTACACCCCTATTCTCATACTATCATGAGAATCATCTATACTCAAGCTCCCATGAGGATCGCTAAGCTCCCGAAGAGAAGATACATCCGTATCAATGGGGATATGGAACCATTTGAATGAGTGGATGGGATTATGCCACCTCACTATCAAACATAACTTTTTTGTGCTTGGTACCAAGCATACTCATTTCTCTCTCTCTCTCTCTCTCTCTCTCTCTCTATATATTATATATATATATATACACACACAAACACACACACACAACACACACATACACACACACATATGAACATATATGTATATGTATATATGCATATATGCTTACGTTTGTGTGTGTGTGTGTATACATTTATATACATATATACATATAGATATACATACATATTTATATGCTTATGCAAATGTATGTTTATACACACATATGTACAAATGTGTGTACATGTACGTATATGTATATATATGTGTGTGTATACATTTATATATGTATACATATATGTGTGTGTTGTGTGTATATATACACACACATGCCCTAAAGCATGTGAATTAACCAAATAGTTATATCAAACTAAGGCTAGCGAGCAGTCAGTGACCTTGCTATAATCATATGTGACATTGTCTGTGATTGGTGATGTCGGATAGTACTTGATCGGCCATCTTGAACCTAGCGTGGTTTCCCATTTCCTTCCCACTATTATGCCCGAGTTAGAGAGTGCACAATCGGCTTGAGACGTGTGCAACGCATTAGCATTCTTCTCCTTCAAGGGAGATTTTCCCCTAAGATATATACCTTGCTATTAGTACGTTAGCATTAGTGGCACATAAACAATCCGGTGATAAAGAGGCACATCTTCTAAACTTATGTATACATTACAAAATTTATGAAAAACATTTTTTTGTTGACTTACATTCTTTTCAAGCTAGAGATGGTACTCTCGTAGGGAGCAGTAGTATAATATGATGTCCTGACGCAACCGTCACCAATCATGGAGATGATGACGACCATGACGAGGAGTGAGTTTTTTCTATATGTAATATATTTTAATTCCTAATACCTGTTATTAGACATTTATGAACTTGTGGATCGTGTTAGACATGTATAGACATGTGGAATTATCTTTTCCTATATGTATTGTATTTTGGATCGTGTTTTCTAATTTTATTGCTTTGTGAATGGATATTTGAGATGTGATTTATATGTTACATGTGATTATTGGAATGGAGATGTATGAATATTGAATATATATTGTAGTTCAATTGTTGGATATGGGATGTGATATATCTATGTATAGGATTTATACATATGTATTTCTGTACATGGAGCAAATTGGTTTAACCCTTTATTTTGTTTGCTCACCAATAAACATTGGTGACAGGAAATTATCCATTGCCATTGTTTCTCCATGGCCAATATGCCCCATCACAATTGTAAATTGGTCACGGGTTTACCCGTCATCAATATGCATTAGTGACAACTTGTTTGGATGTATGATAACGGGCACCAACCTACCATCAATGCCCATTTGGAGATGGATTTCTAGGAATTAGTGATGGATTCCCCCATCACACCAATGCTCTGTTTCCTACTAATGTGACCTGAATGATTAGGAGGTTTCACTCTCAGGTTCGATTTCGGGATGAGCTATCGAAAGAAAAAAAAAGAAAAAGTATAAATATTTTATAATAAATTTATTTTAACGGTATTACTTGAATTAAGAATTATGTTATTATGTAATAATTATATTTTTATATAAATTATTTAATAATAGCATAATAAACTAGTTTATTAAATCATTTAATAAATTAATACCTTTCTTTATAGTTGTTAATAGTATCATAAATACCAGTATAATCTTTATAAATAATAATAGTTACAATAAAATAGGATACTAATTTATTAAAATTATTCTAAATTATAATTATACTATTATGACTTTTAAAATATAGTATAATATTGAATAAATTGTGATTAAAGTATTGTAATTATTCATACAATTTTTTATACAACTTTTAGTTTAAATATCATTTCATTAACACAAATTTTAATTATTCACCATTTTTTGTCCTATCAATACAAACTCAAACCATAAAACAAATATGTCAATATCCAAAGCACGCACTTTGCTCGTCCAATTAAAAGTAATCTTATATTTGTGAAAACGTATTTTTGGTTATCTTAATTATCCACCTAGGCTTAGGCCCCTTCGGACAAAAAAACTTATATTTATAAATGAAAACTTTATTAAATTTTCTCAATCCTCTATTAATAATCATATAATAATATTTTGTTGCTCCCGACTCCGGACTTGGAGCATGCTAATAATGGGACGGATAATCTAACCGAAGAGAGATGAGGGAGTGGGGCGGAGTAAGTTACGGTTAGTTAATTGGTCAACGGTCAATGTGGGACCCCTCTTCCTGCTCTCATCTCATGCGCCCTTATTTCTCTCTACTCGTTTAAATCAAAGACACCAGTCCTCCCCTCCCTCTTTCCTCACCCAAAGCAATAAACTTCAAAATTTTTAAAAAAAATAAAGCATACAAAATTAGAGAAAATAAAGAATCATAAAACAGATGGGCAAGTTTTTCCTTTTGCTCTGTCTGTTCTTGTGTTATTCGATAGACAATGCCGACGCAAGGCGGCCGAGGGCGGGTAA